CGTTAAGCGTTCAAGGGAGGCGGTAGGAGACGAGGTACGAACTAGAGAGGGAGGACGAACGAGAGAACGAGCAGTGGTCTTAGCCTTTTTTGTTATGTTTGCCGGGGAGCCAAATGTTTTCCAATGTTACGAGGAGCGAAAGTAATGTAACGCGAGATAGAACACGAAAACGAGGGAACCAAAAACTTCAAACGAACTAACTTGTTTCCTTTTTATATTGTCTGGGAGAGAGAGAATATAGAGACCGGGAAGAATCGTTTTTATTAGTGTAATGAGAAAAAACGAGAAAACAGGCTCAACATTGACTTCGAGAAATTAGAATATGCATGGATTTCATAAGAGAGCTAGATCAAAAGTGGCCGCCGTTAATTAGCGTATAAGCGAGAACGAATTATTGCATGCATGTTGCGAAACATTCTCTCGACGGAGAGGAAAAAAAAACGAAGGTGAATACTAATACGAGACAGTGAGGAGTGCACAAAAAAACGAACGAAAGTTAACATATGACAGTATGGGAGAGCGATAAAGTCCATTCCTTTGCCTTGATTTCAATAGGGAGCCCATTGCGTATTGTTGGTGTAGTGTTGCACGTTGGGTGGTGAGACGTTCACGGCCATCAAGGCTCGGGGATACGGTACGAATTGATACGGTGGAGTAGCTTGGTTGTATATCAGCGATTGGTCGGGTGGAGTATGACTCGCGGTGTTATGAGATGTCCTTTGATGCTCCCGTCTTCTCTGGCTAGATTGACGCTTTCTCTCCTTCTTGTGACTCTTCTTGACAGTCGGCGGCTTATTGACAGTCGGTGGTTTGTTCTCGATCAAACTGGCTAATTTTTCGATTTGGGGAGTAAGTTCGAGGAGTTGTAGACGCATTGATTGAAATTCGATCCTAGTTGGTCCGACACTTGATGGTTCTGTCCCTTCGATAAGCTTGTCGATGTCGATTTGATCGTTGCTAGACATACCTAAATAGAGAGTGGTGGGAAGTACTGAAGGAGGTGATAGGAAACAGGTTTCGTGACTTTCTATTATCCTACAGCTCGACAATGTCTATATACTTATTACTTTACAGGATAATTAACTTATTATTTTACAGGATAATTAACTTTAAAAAATTACTTGAGATGTAAGGAGGGGGGTTAGATGAGCTCTTCAGGGAGCTTCTCCTCCAACTCGAGGGGGTATAGGCGAGCGGGAGAACGAAGGTATGCCTTGCGATCGGGATGGAGCACGCGAACGGTGCGAGTGTCTCCCGTCTCGTCTGGCATCACTTCTAATATTTTACCCAAATGCCAGTCGACTCTGTTCTGTTTGGCGTTGCTGCACAAAACTATTTCCCCTACTCTAGGATACTTCCCCACTTTTTTCTCAACATTATTTCTCTCCTTTAACATATGTAGGTAGCTGGTGGACCATAGCTCCCACATCTTTGACAAAATGACTTGCACGTCTTTGAAGACTAACCTCAGAGAGTTAGGCGCGTTCAGAAACGGAGCAGGGTGAGCTTGGCTGTGGAAGCGGACTCGAGGATAGGGATATAAGAGAGAGGATGGAGTGATGGCATTCTGCAAGTCATCATTAAGGACAGTGAGGGGACTGCTATTTACGATGTATGCGGCTTCTACTAGGATGGTACGGAACAGAGACGGGATAGGTGCGGGGGAGGGATAAACGGCTTTCTTCAAGCTAAGCTTGACCAACCCAATCAGTCGTTCATATATGCCTCCTTTCCAAGGAGAAAGAGGGCTGATGAACGACCACGTTATTTTGCAGAGCTCGGTAAGGTGTTGT